ATGTTAGAATTAATGTTTAAGTTAGTTTTAAGTTGAACATTTGTAATAGCTTCTTTTCTATGTATTTGAAATTCATAATCTCCGGAGCCTGTGTTTGTAATATTAATATCTAGGAAATTGAGTTGTTCGAGGTCGTTTTCAAGTTCCACTGAGTATTTTATGGCAGGATGTTGTTCATTAAGGATGTTCAGGATCATTTGTTGTTGTTTTATTGAAACAATTCGAGCGTGACAATCATCTACATATCTCCTGTAAGTTTTTGGTTCGGTTGTATGAATAATTACTATGTTAAGGACTTTTCTTTATATATTTTGTAAAATTTAGAGAGTCACTCGAAATAAACAAGGCTAGGGTTCGACAGGAGTTGAGAAATGGTGATGTGGTTCTCAATCGGGATGACGGTGATAACGTGACAACTAAAACCTGGGGGCCATTTTTTAATAAAATCTGCTGACGTAAGTTATTTGAAAAGTTTTTTTGTATTATATTTTGGCTTTTTAGTATTATCTTTTTAACGGTTTGTTTTTACTATAACGATTTTTTTGTAACTATTTTATTCATTATACCTGATGAAAATAGATCAGCGAAATATCGAAATAATTATATATTAAAGAAAAAATATATATATTTAAAAAAAGTTTATACGCACCCGTATTTATTCAATTCTAACCATTACTAGTTTTTTTTTTTTTTTTTTTAATTTGCATTCACTCCCAACAAGGCTGCAAGCAACCACTATTAAGTTGGGAGTTACTAGGAAAAAAAAAAGAACAGAGTTATAGAGCAAGGAAACGGTTGACAGAAGACTTGAAAAGTTGAAGGTTGTATGAGTCAGGAAAACATGAAGATGGGAGAGAGTTCCAAAGGATTGAAGTGCGGGGAAAAAAACTAGATGAATAAAAGTTTTTAGAGCATGCTGGGACAGATACAGTAAACGAATGAGACTTAGCTGAATGACGAGTAAAACGAGAATGAGTTTTAGTTGATGGAACTAGAGATGATAACTCCTTTAAGCAGTGACCATGATAGTATCTGTAGAAAAGAGAAAGAGATGCAACTTTATAGGAATGTTGAACATATTACGGTAGTTGTTTGCAGTAAGCAGTTGAGTTTTTTTAGAGTTGAAATTCACAAGCCACTGTGAACTGAAGTGAGATCAGATTCAAGACCAGCTGCTTGTTCTAGGCGATCGAAAAGAGAAGACTTTTTGTCAAGACAGGAGTATAAAGTTGAGTCATCAGCAAAAAGAGCTACTTTAGATGAAAGGTTGTCAGGAAGATCGTTTATGTAGATAAGAAACAAAACAGGGCCCAGGATGGAACCTTGGGGAACCCCAGAAGTTACTGGAAATAAAGAAGAGTGTTGGCTTTCAAGGATGACTTTAATAAACCGGTCAGAAAGAAATGATTTGATAATCTCAAAAACTTTCCCAGAAACACCATATGAAGCAAGCTTATGGAGAAGACCAGCATGCCAAACTTTGTCGAAAGCTTTAGATATGTCGAGAGCAATAGCCCTAGCCTCACCGCCTCCATCTAATGCACGATAAAACCTTTCAGTTACAGCAGTTAGCAAGTCGGCCGTAGAGCGAGAGGATCGAAAACCGTATTGATTGTCTGACAGCAGTTTATTTGACTCAAGATGAGATGTGAGGAATTTGTTGATCAAAGACTCAAAGACCTTGCTAATAACAGAAAGAAGACTGATCGGACGATAATTGGAGGGGTCAGAATTTTCTCCAGAGTTTTTGAATATTGGAACCACAGATGCCATTTTCCAACAAGCAGGAAAACAAGACTCAGTCAAACACTTGTTAAATAGTTTAGAGAGAATTGAAGAAAGTTCTGGAGAACAATTCTGCAAGACTGTGACAAGAATGTTGTCTGGACCACAAGCTGTAGACGAGTTTAATTGAGATATGACTTTAGCAACAGAAGCCGGAGTGATTTGAATGTCTAACAACGGGTCAACCTGTTTGACTGGAATGGAAGGAAGAGAATGTCCATAAGATTCAAGAGTGGAATTAGAAGAAAAGTTCTTTGCAAATAGTTCTGCCTTATCCTTGGGAGAGGTATTAAGATCAGTCCCATGAATGAGAGATGGAATGTTAGATCTACCCTTGTTAATAATGCTGTTGAAGATTTTCCAAAAGTCCTTAGAGCCTAACTTCTGCGATAAGATGCGAGATTTAGTGAACTGAAAATAATGGAGTTTAGCATCAGAAAGCACCTTTTTAAATCGATTTCTTGCAATAATAAATAGTCGTTTGTTCTCAAGAGAGTTGTTCTTTTGAAAAAGATGAAAAAAATGATTACGATTGGATATAGCAGCCGCACAAGAAGGAGAAAACCATGGAGTAGAATGAGGCTTGACTTGAAACCGACGAGAAGGAATAAAAGCTTCCATTCCAGCCTGAATCCAGGAGGTTATGTAGGAGGCGCATTTGTCAGCTGAGAGAGAAAAAATATCAGCCCAAGGACCATCACGAAGAAAATCACGAAAGGAATCCCAGTCAGCTTTAGGGTAGTAGTAGGTGGTGCGATGATAAGTAGAGCCCAAAAAAGAAGTACGAGAACAAAGATTTATAGAGATCATTGCATGGTCAGAACCACCTAAGGGAGAAAAGGGAGAAACTGAACCTAAGCTAGGGTCAGAGACAAGACATAAGTCAAGGAGTGAAGGTAAATAATTAGGGTTGTCAGGAAAACGAGCCACAAAGTTAACTATCTGAGTAAGAGATTGAGAAACGCAGAAGTTAAAGGCTTTAGTGCCAGCAGGATCAGTGGTGTTAGAGCCAAGCCATTCAGTGTGATGGGCATTAAAATCACCAACAACAACAATATTGGCAGAGGGGTAAAGAGAGAGGGCATAGTCAATTTGATCAGAGATAACATCTAAAAGAGTGCAATCATGGGAAGAAGGAGAACGATAAAGAATAAAGAGAAAGGTGATAGAGTGAAGAGGTGCTAGGCGAAAGCACATAAAAGAATGATTAAAGGATTCGAACCTGATTTCACGACAAATAGGGGAATTAATGCGTATGTATACCCCTAAACCTAGCATGTGACTATTGGAGTCTTTACGAATCAAAGGATAGTACCCATCAACACTGACATCTGAAGAAGGAATTGCAGAATTTAAATTTGTTTCACTGAGTGCAAGCAAGTCTGGTGAATTTTGCAGGAGGTAAGACTCAACTGATGGAAAGTTGCTTTGTAGACCGCGAATATTTGTAAAAGATATATTAAAATATTTAGGTGGTGGGGATGGTTTTTTAGGTTTTAAATTTTTGGTTACTTTGGTCATGATTTGGGTTTAATGAGAACTTGACTCATTCATAGATAGAGCACAGCCTCCTAATCAATGAGCTATGCAGTTGTCTCAGTCCTGTTAATTAACCCTAAGCCGTGACATAGGGCTCCTTATGTGGCCTTGACAATGCACACGAAAAGCATTAACAGGGACACCATCCATGCGCAACATGGCACTGTTAATACTCTGATATTTTGCAGCTGTTGATGGAATCAGCCTCTCTGAGAGCTACCACAGAGTTCGGGAAACCTTACTACCAGCCGGCCTCAGAACCATTAAACTGAGTTTTAGAGCTGTACCCTCATATGGAGATAACAGTAAGAGTTGCATAGCCATAATCAAGGAGGCATAAGCAAAATTCTATGAGTAGAGTCAAGGAGATCCAGCATTCATCATCCTAGGCAGGAAACAATGTAACACAGGTTACATCTACGCCAGCCTAATAGATTAAGAAGGGGTTCGAGGCTGGTTAGCAGTTATTGTATTTTATAACGACATTATTACTTTTTCTTTAAAAAATGTGTTTATGCAGTGATATAATTGTAAACAAGAACGGGAAAAAAAAAAGTAATACGTGAAATTTCAAGTTCGCTTCTTGCATTCCACCCTAAAACTTTGTAAATAGTTCTTAATATAAAGAACGATGTTGGAAGATCAGTAATAAAATAACTCAATAGTATATCAAAATCTATTTCTTTTAAGTTGAAGACATATCTACTATTTTCATTGGAAAAAATTCTTTATCAGACTATTGAGATCTAACTTTTCCCTGAATTTAATTCAAATATTATGACACTAAAGAAAATTACTTTACCAACAAAGTAATGAAGGTTCACAATTAATTTGAGTTAAACCACTTGAACACAGAGAGGAAAAAATGTTAAACGTTGCTTAAGCAAGATATATATATATATATATATATATATATATATATATATATATATATATATATATATATATATATATATATATATATATATATATATTTATTGGCGCATTATGAAGTCAAATTTGACTTAATTTGAACTTTCAAGTTAAATTATTTTCCGCGGACAAAATTAAATGATTTTAAAATTTGCATCACAGGGTACCTTGATGTGTACGCTAACTTTCCGTATAAGTGGCGTTCTTGGGACAGCTAGGTAGGCATTATAAGGATCCGTGCTAACCGTGTTTACTATTTATCTCTTGGATGTTATAAATTTGCCATCATTCAAGTGTTGATATTTTACTTAAACTTAAGAGTTGAGCGAATTTCTTTATTCTGAAATTTCCGCGTGGATAATTTCTTCGAGCATGCACAAACAGTTTAAAAAATTTTTTTTGCCAACTTTTATTGTAATTTTTTATTCGCGCAGATTACTTTTATTGTAATATTTTATTTGTAGGATTAAAATATTCCCAGAGATTTTACATAAACGATTGTAGTCTATATAAACTATTTATTTTGATGCTTTATCTGTATGTAATATGTTATTGGGTGATAAAAAGAATAAATATCATTTGTAACTATTATATGTATATGATTTGTGAGTATTCATTAAAATGACATAAAATCGACAACAAAAAAACATTCCGCGGATTATTATCCTGGTTATTTAATTTTTTAATATTCTACATTTCAAAAGATTAAAATTTAAGTACAAGAAAAAACTTTTACATTTACAAATATTTATATAAAAACTATATAAAGTTTAAAAATATATATTAAAATAAAAAAATAGCAATAAATACTAACGAGTTCGATTTTAAAAGTCTTCAGTAAGCTTCTCAAGATGTTCTTTTATACTACAGAATGAAGGACGTTTCTCAGGTGTCTATTCAAGAATAATAAATTTCTTATACAGATTAACATAAAATGATTTGATAGTTTTTAAATCAAAATGAAATTAAGACAAAGTAAGAAATGACATAAAAAAAAAGTAGAGACCTGGTGCCAACAGTTGCACATTAATGTATAAATATCCTTAGGACAATTGTTTGGTTCCTCCAATCGATAACCTTTACGAACCTGTTAAAAAGATAAATTGAATTAATAGCAATCGATAACCTTTACTAACCTGTTGAAAAGATAAAATGAATTAATAGTAATCGATAATTTAATATTAATTTATCTGTTGAAAAGATAAATTAATATTAATTAAAACTGCTTAAATTTTCACTTCACTTTTTATACTTTATAATGTAAAATTTCATTTCAAAATTTTTAAAGCCACATTTTATTAAAACATCTTTTTAAACCCATTTAAAAGGGTTAAAAACATTTTTGTTGAAAGAGTTTTAATATAACCTATTACTTTAAAAATCAATTTTGTTTTAAAATTTGATGGAGAAAGGAAGGGGAGAGGGGGAGGTTTCAGTTTTGAGCTACATATTGACTTCGAAACAAAAACGTGATTTCGTCCATTCTCCTCCATAAAGCAAAATATTTCAGCATACAGAAAACTTTCAACTTTTTTTATTAGTCATTTTCCACTTTATAAGAGTATAATTACCTCATTTGCCACTTGATAATTGTTTAGCATGGCATATGGAGATTTGCCACCAGTAAAAACTTCCCAAGTTAAGACACCTGAAATTTTATAAGATAACAAATTGTACTCGTAATTTACAAAAACTTTTAAATTGTTTTCAGTATAAAAATTACTAACAACATTTGAGCTTTAACTTCTGTATGTATACACACACATATATATATATATATATGTGTGTGTGTATATAAACACACATTTATATATATATATATATATATATATATATATATATATATATATATATATATATATATATATATATATATATATATATATATACAAGTTAGAGGTATATAGCTATTCTTGCATACTCTCTTTCTCTATGCGCGCATGTGTATATATCTATATCTATCTATGTATATATGTATATAAACATATATATATATATATATATATATATATATATATCAGGGGCGAATCTAGGGTACGTCTAGTACGTTTGTAGACGTATCTATCTATATATGTATAAATATAAATATATATATATATATATATATATATATATATATATATATATATATATATATATATATATATATATATATATATATATATATATATATATATACATATATATATATATACATATATATATATATATATATATATATATATATATATATATATATATATATATATATATATATATATATATATATATATATGCGTATATATATATATATATATATATATATATATATATATATATATATATATATATATATCAGGGGCGAATCTAGGGTACGTCTAGTACGTCTGTAGACGTACCCAAAAAAAAAAAATCTAAAAAAAAAGTCTATATATTATTTCAATATTGCGTATAAAAATAATTTTTTTAGTTTAACCGTTAAGTGAATTAAATTTAAGTTTTGTTACCTTTATACAAACAGTTACTTAAAAAAAAAAAAATTTCGCTTCTTGTTTCGAGTAATTAAAGTTGCTTTTTGTTTAGAGCGGTAAATAAAAAAACTTTTTTAACTGGAGGTTAAAGTAATAATAAATAAATAATGTTTAATTAGAAGAGTCAATGGACCCAATATTATTTTGTTAAACGATAAAAAACGTTTTTAAATTTTTATTTTTTTTGTTATAAAAACAAAATACCAATTTCTTTAATCATAACAATTTTTGGACGTACCCAAAGCAATACACCCTAGGTAAAATCTTAGTTAAAATCCATTGTTTAGCGATAATTAGGAGGTGAAATATATTTTAATAGTTAATACATATCAAAATAAAACAATGGACGTACCTAACATTATTTTTTTTTGTGATTGAACTTTTTACTTAGTTTAGTTTTCAATATTTAAATTTTGAGTAATCGATTTTATTTATGAAAAAACACTGTCTGACGTACCTTCCTACTTTCACTCTGAAATATTTAAAGTTTATTGTGATATTTAAAATGTCTCGACTCTGTAAATATACAAAGTTTTCTTAATAAATCGTGTTTGCAACATATCCGTGTTTATGCTGGTGATAAAATTCTTCAAGATCAGCTTAGATATTATCAACAAATATCTGGTAAAAAAAGACACCATAATATCTGGTAAAAAAAGTGTTTCAGAGAAGTTAATAACAAAAAATTTTAAAAATTTTAAACATTTTTCTGATGAAGCTTCTGACAATTAAAGTAGAAAACAACTACTTTTAATTATATGGTTTGCTGGTTCAAAGTTCAATAAGAGAATTTATCAGTTTCTTAGATTGCACAAATGGTGTTACTAGTATGGAATATTTTATTTTTTGGTAAAAATATTTCGGATTCCTTTTTATATATCATGCATTGTGATATGGTGGAGCTAGAGCAATTGATGGTCACACTAAAGATTTGTCCTTTAAATCTAAATGAAAAACCTGCATATGCTCATTGCAACAGTCATAGACTTAATTTAGTTATTTGTGCCTCATACAAAGTGCAATATGTCAAGTATCTTTTTAGCACTATGTCATGTTTTGCAATATGACAAGTATTGTTTTTGGCACACTTTAATGAGTATCATACTTTTTAAACTTGTACATATCAGGCTTTAGAGGAGCATATTAAAACTTTAGAGGAGCATATTAAAAGTACCGTCCCATATTGAACATGTTGGGTGAAAAAGGTTTACTTTTTTTTTGGATAGTTTTCAAGAACATAGTACTAGCTCCTCAAAAATGATTTCAGAAGTTCAATTATAACTTTTAGTGAATTTTATGAACAGATCTACTGAATTCCCATGCTTTAATCTTGTGAGCTTCATTTATGTGAAGCATTTTAGTTAAATTTAGAAAGGTAGTTTCAATATTAATGTTACTGAGCTGTTAAAAGTGATAAATTTTCCTGGTTATAAAAACATTAAAAGTTTACATGCTACTTTTCCGCTAACTTCATGTGAATGTGAGTGGATATATTATTCATTTTGGTGCCTGAAATATATATGTTAAGCACCCTGGTATAGTGCCAAACAATAATAACACCGATTTGGTGTTATCATTTTTATATATAAAATGCTAAGTTGTATTTGTTATAATTGGCAAATGCTTTTGTTTTTTAATTGATTTTTTTCAGTTTTTATGTATTAATCAGCAAGATTTATTAAAATGAATGTTTAAAAAAAACTTTTTTTTTAACAAAATGTGGCATTAAGAATGCATCTATAAATAACTCTTTTTATAATTTAAAACTGCATATTTAATATACAATATTTTATTATAAATTGTGTTATTTTATAATATATTTGTTAAAATAGAAATATAAAATTTTGCATTGTGTAATTTATTTTATTAATGGTAATGTAAAAATATAGTTTTTAATAATAGATCTGTAAATAATGTGTAAATATATAATTTTATAATCTAAAAGTTAAGTGCCCCGGTGATAACCTTGCATGTTTTTAATTGAAGAAAGGCTCTTATTAGATTGACTTAATAGGCCTCTTTTAATAATAGACCTCGGTTAATCTTGATATATTAACTGAAGATGGTCTTCCATGTATTTTTTGCTTTTCAACTAACGACTAGAGACACCAAAAAAAAAAAAACGGTTCTCACTATTTCCAATATGCCAACTATAGCTCAAAACTTGCTTAATGTGCTAACTCAAAAGATATCTTTAAGGGGAGGAGGGGGAGGGGAAGGGGGAGGGGGGGGGGAAGGGGGTTGGGGCACCACGCCCCCCCCATCCTTCGGGACAGCCCTGGGGAGGGGGTTAAAGATTTTTCCAAAAAATCAATAATTTCCTGGGTCCGCCCCTGTATATATATATATATATATATATATATATATATATATATATATATATATATATATATATATATATATATATATATATATATATCATGGCCTACTATAATGAAAGGCCGAGTAAACATACGGCTTTTATAAAAACTGTAGGCGAGTTTTTTTTATGAAAGCATACGGCTTTTTTTTAAATTTTTAATAAAGAATGATTTATATGTAAGTCATAAACAACTAGCAGTAAGCAACCCGTAATACGGGTTGTTAGTAAACAAAATTAAAAAAAAAAAAACGCGTATAAAAAAATTCTAGAAACTACTTTAAAATAGAAAAACTAAATTTTTCTATTTTAAAGTAGTTTAACTAAATTAAATGAATTCAACATCCGAAATTGTAAAAAAAATTGTAAAATAAATGCAAAGCACATTTAATTAGGTATAATATAGAAAAAACTCACATTTAAGATAAATTCAAAATTTTCATTTTGGGCTCCTTTGAAGATCGTGGGGTATAGAGATGGCAATATTTGTTAAAAAATAAATTGGCATGAATTTTACAATGTTTTTTTGAAACATTAGTAAATCCATAAAAGTCAGATACCATCGAAAAATAGTTAGATAAACTAACACGACAGACAAAAGTGTAAAGAAATAAAATGTATGAATAAAATATCCAATAGTAAATGTTATCTTCAGGCAAATTTAAACCACCACGAATAATCTCTCTGACATAATCTCCAAACTGCTCAAAAAAAAACATCTTCAACTGGATGATCTTCCCTATTGACATAGCCGCTGTCCAGCTGCTGTCTTGTAGGCCTCCTATTGACATAGCCAGTAATGTAAACCAAAGACATTTCAATTTCTTGACAAATTGCTTTGTTACATTTGTTACACAAATGGCTTGATGATACTTCTAAATCATTAGCAGTGATACCAATGTTTATTTAGACAAAGTTTTATTTTTTTAATGTCAACTTTTTGTAATATTTGCTGAACATTTATAAAATAGGCACCATCTGACCTGAAGTTTTCCAAAAGCTTTCTCAATAGAGTCACTAGTAAAATGTCCAAACATACTGATGGGTTGTAGTTAGTAAATGTTTTACTAGCTCAACCATCCCACAACATATATGAGAAAAAGCACGAGAAGTATCTTTGGTTAAATCTTTTAGTCTATAACCTTGTTTTTCAGGAGCCATTTTTTCGACCATATCAGCCAAATTTAAAAGAAAGTTCAATTGTTTATCATTGTTTGATGAATAAACAATTTTTATCTTTAGTACAAATATCTTCATAAAGTCTTTTAACAATTTTAAAAAATTTAATAAAAATAGATAAAAAAGGTGTCTTCAACATTTTTTATGGATGGATGAGTTTTTATAGCAGCTACAATCTCATCACAAAATACTCTTAAACAAGTTGACACATTCTGACATTCAATTGGTTTAGGAAAAACTGCTGTTTCATTAAGTTTAGACAGGTTCACAATAGCATCTTTTTCAAATAGAAAAAGTTTTTTAAGATCTGGCCATTTTGCAGTTTTTGAAACACCTTTGTAAGTAAAGCATAGTTTTTGGGATTTTTCTGTGAGCCAATTGTTGCAAATAGATTTTATTAAATGAATAAAGCCATACAGAAGGAAAATGTTATCATTAGTGCACCAAGTATTACAGAGATTGAACATTCCAAAAACCTTTTTATTTATTTTGTTATTGTCGCAAAGAATAGCAACAACAGAACCACCACATTTTTTTATCGCTTTAATTATTTGCAGTGTTTGATCATATTGAAAATTAGCATCTAAACCTGTTATTGGT